GTTGTGTTAAATATTTAATATGTTAATGAACGAATGAGACATATAACAATTTGGGCTATACAACAACTAGTATAAATAAAATAATTATATATATAAATCCATATTTAACATTCCACCTTTAAAGGAACTCCGCCAAGGTTCTCCTTGGGCAAGAAAATGTAGTTCTAAGTCTTTGATCTTGTGCATTAGCTGTTCAATCTTTGCATAACGGTTAGTTCATGATATAAACTTAATATCGCGCAGGCAACGTTTTATTTCTATTCGGCTTCTAAACGTCAGCTAGACTGTCATTATCTTGGTCGATAACATTTCACCTTTTGCAAAAAGTAATCGATAGTGAAGTGTTGTTTGGAATGTTTGGTTCAGTGGTTATTCGGTTTCTTCATCATTTTGGTTTGTCTGTGGCTTGTTATCCTGATCGTCTAATCATTTGCTTGATCATCATCTCGTTATTTATTATCATTTGTATTTATTTATCACTTGAAATTATTATCATGAACAATTTATCTCGAATAAAATAATTTTGGAATAATTGAAACGATAATGGGATAAATAATTTATTGGAATCATTCATGGAATAAGAATAATAATCATAATTTGGTATATAGAATCATATAATATTTTGAAATAGCGTTTTATATAATAATTTTTCATTTAATATTAAATTTCAATTATTTTTATTTATATTTATTTTTTTAATATTTTGAATTGTAGCATTTTATATAATAATTTTTTATTAACAGTAAATTTCAATTATTTTTATTTTTTTAATTTTACTCCCTTATTTTTTAATTTAAACACCTTTTTCATATTATAATTTATCTTTAAATTGTTCTTTCTAAAAAAAAATTATTTTGCCTTCCATTTTTAACATATGTTTTCCATATCACATTCTGAAAAACTTTTTTAACATCAGGATATTTAACTTTTACTTTGCCTCTCTTTATAATATTTGTTTTACGTTTCTTTATTTTCAAAGTTTTTTTAAATTCTTTATCAATTATAAAAGTTTTTATTTCTTTATTTTCTTTAATGTTTATTTCATTATTTTCTATAATCACAAATATTTCTTCAAATTTTATCATATAATTTATCTCTTTTAATTTATAAGAATCTATTTCAATTTGAATATTTGGTACTAATTCAATATTTTTCAAGTTTTGTTACTATGAGATTTATAATTATAATGATCCTTTCTTTTATTGTAATGTGTTTCTTTATCATATTTATTATCTAATTTTCTATTTTCATAATAATTTTTATTATTAGATTTATTATATTGATTTCTGTTATAATAATTGTCTTTGTCACTATAATAATTATTATTATGATTATTTTTAAAATTTTGACATTTATAATTTTTATTAGGATGATTTTCTTTTATTTCCGTAGCCTATTTATAATTACATAAACATTTTAATGTACACAATGCTTCATCATAACTTGAATTTATCTCTCTCGGTAACATTGCTTTCATAACCAAAAATAAATCATCTGGTAAATTACATATTAAGCTTAAAGTATTTTTACTATCATAAAATATTAAATAATCTTCTAATTTGTCTATGGTTTTATCATTATGGTCCCATATTAGTTTATTCATATTTTAGAGATTTTATAATTAAAAATTTTAAATTATTTTTCACTTTTTCATATTAATCATTTCTTACGTGTTTTTAAAATGAAATAAACATAACATTCCAGAACTTTCATCTAGTTGACTATGATCCAGTAACTAAAATCATATCTAAAATTTGTCTCTGAAAAATATCTAAAAAAAATCTCTGAAGTAGCTTTGCTTGAGTATATTGGAAATTCAATATTTATATTAACATTACTATTGGGAATCTGTTTCATATTTATTTAATTACGATAGCAAAACTGCTACCATGTAGTATTCCAGCAGATAAGCCATCAAGTTTTCTAAGTTGAAGTACTTTCGTCCATCATCAATATCAAAAAGAAATACAAAGGAAATTTTCTAATTTTAATTAATTAATTTCATAATGTATATATAACTATCAAACTAAAAAAAATATCTCTATACATACTTCTTTGAATTCAATTTAGTGAATCAAATTATTAATATACATCACGTGAAAGAAAATAATCTCATTAAGTTTATGGTTGTGTTAAATATTTAATAAGTTAATGAACGAATGAGACTTATAACCATTTGTGCTATACAACAAAGTTGTCAATGGAATATTTATTTAATTTTTCTAAAATATCAGAGACCTACAGTCCCGGCCTTAAGCCCGGCCCGGGTACCAAGGCCGGGCCGAATTTTTAAAATATAACCGGGCCGGGCCTGAAAATTTTTTTTTAAAGAAAACCCGGGCCGGGCCGTATTTTTTTAAAAAATTTATACAATATGAATTATTATATTCGTCAATTAGATATGGCTATAATGATTATATATAGTTATGATTAATATAATGTTTTGTGAAAGTTAACACTAGCTAACACTCATAGTATCTATTACATGATAAAATTATAGTTTTCCTACCATGGAATAAATACGTAAAGGATTAAATACATTATTATATAATATATGTTATATTTTTTATTAATTAAAATATCATTATTTTTATTTTTTTAAATACATAGTATATTTTCAAAATATTATTTACACAAATTTTTTATAGTATCAATTTGTAATATACTAAATATCTGTTTAGAATAAAAAAAAATATAATATGTTATAGTGTTGTTAAATGGCTCGTTTTGAGACAATTTTTAAAAACGTCTAACTCAGTTTTTTATCCAGAAAAATATTATGCAAGCCTGAAAATTTTGCTCACAGAAGAAGCATAGGTCTAGACATATAGTATCGAAATTTCTAGTATATAAAAATCAGCTCAAAACGAGCCGTTTAACAACATTAACTAATAGATTTGCTTATTAAATGATAATACTCGTCGAAAAATATGATAAAATACGAAATAATAAATTTTTTGTATATACCAGGTCGAATATTATTTTAAAAAAATCAGGCTCGGCCGGGCCCCAAAAATTTTTTTTTAAACATCCGGGCCGGGCCGTAAAAATTTTTGAAAAAATAATCCGGGCAGGGCCGAAAATTTTTTAATCTGGGCCGGGCCGTACAAATGGTACCTCTGCAGTCTCTGTAAAATATATATCACTACACTATAAATTATATGTATATATATACTTTTACAATCAATCAAATTCTTCTTGTGTCATGTGAATGAAATATAATTGTGTTAAATGTTTAATATGTTAATAATAAATGAATGAAACAAAGTATAAATAAAATAATTATAAATATAAATCCATATTTAACAGATAGTCTTATTAATTTTTAAATAATAAAATATAATTTATATGTATTAATTTTATCTACAGTTTTTGCATCTCGCTTAAGTGCAAATACTTATAAATGCGAATGCGCAAAGAGTATAAAACAAAAGTACCTATGATAAAATTACAAATTTTACCATAATAAATATACATATCTGTGCAAAAAATTGTTATTATTATTCATACAAAGTAAAATTTTTATTTGCAAAATTCTATGTGATTTTGTTAAATTATTAATCATAAATATAAGAAAAAAAAATCTGCTGTTAGATTCATTTTTTGTAAATTCTCCATGTCTAAAGGAATATTTCTTTTTTGATAGCCTTGTTTTCTGAAATTGTTGAATATTAGAATTGGCTTGATGATTATAATTTAAAATATTGATTATATTTTTCTGAGAATCATGATTTTCAAAATTTGTTGCTTGGGTAATATTGTTGTATGTGGATTAATTTGCCTTTGTATTTATACTTAGAATATGTGTATTTATCTTTAAAATATTTCTTCTTTATTAGCACGTTCGTTATAGACCTGCCGAAAAGTGAGCGTAAGTGAATTATATGAAGACCCATCCTACATATAATATGCCAATTTTTTTCTCAAGAATACTAACACCTTGTAACCCAGATATGAAGTTATATGAGGGTGGTATTACACCCGAGCCATATTTATAAAAATAATAATTTTAACTATCAAATGTCGTTTCACAGATTAGATATAAAGTGGAAAAAAAAATTTTTAGTGATTTAAAAAATATCTTAATAATAATAATCGTATAATTCTACAACAAATTTAAACTTTTTATATAATATATTACTAGTAACAACACAAAATTGGTTTATATACTAAATAATTAAAATTTAGCCTTTTAAATGCGAAAAGTCGGATAAGTGCGTAAATATTACTTTTTCAATCCCAACGCTTCACAATTAACCGGTTTTGATTGTATAATATGTAATAGAATTATAAAAGAAATCGTTCAAGGGGCTATCAAAAAATTTACTTTAGTATAGGAGGATATTAGTAGGGAGCCAATAAGAGAAAAAATTATTTCGTCAGGGGGCTATTCAAAATTTTCAGGGAGCTATAGCTCCTACGCCCCCCCCCACCCTAGTGAGTAGTGAGTGACGCTACTGCATAATAGTATTAAAAATGAAAGATTTTATAAAATTGTTTTTTATTGTTAATAATTTTCCGATGAATGAGATTTTTATTGTTTATAACAAAAAAAATTGATTATTTTGAGTGAAATCAGATATAAGTATTCCAGGCTAAATATTTTTCTTGAACCAATCAGATATAGTAGAAATAGAATAAGGTTATTGAGAAGATGATATCACGATATTCCCAATGAATATTTCTCTATCTCATTGCCCCAACCATATCAATATTCGAAATGCATGCACAAAAAATTTTTGCAACTAATAACCTACAGAGAAGGCTTTTATCTTAAAAAAGCCATTCAAATTCTAAAAAAAACTTCCTTGTCTGGTATATTCTATTCCTGACTAAGAACTCCTACTCATTTTATTTTTTAAAAATATAACTATGTAATCTAAACATGATTATAATATTTTCCACCATTCAAATTTGTCAAACAAGTTAATTTTTTTATTTAGGTTGTATGGTGATAGTGCTAACATATATCACTTAATAATTTTAATTGATCTCATATTTTCAACGTGCGGTTTTAATTTGTCTTGTCCATATGTCTAGATTGGTAGATTATTTTGTAGTGGTAGGATACGACTTTGACAAAGAAAGTATGATGACATTTTATTAATTTATGATATTTGGTAGAAGTGCCCATCTGGATTTTAAACCAATACATAAAACATACCCCTTAAAATGACAAGTTTATAAAATAATTTATAGGAAGTATCGTATTAGGGAAATGCATTGGCATGGACATTATGTTAAGTAGAGATTCACATGAAAATAATTTATTTTAAATCGATTTCTCCATTTTATTTTAATCCTGATTTATACCTGCATGTTTGCCTCTATTTTAAACATATTACTTCAACCTTGCTATGTAAGATATTAGCTTCCAAATTTTAAATGTCATACATTAACCAAATTAAATCTGATATCTAACAGTGAATATATATATTTTTAAAATCTATATATTACAATAAATATTATATTGTTGTTTTTATAACAGAATAATTAAATATATATTTTTTTATCAGACTGCAGGCCCTAAGCTATAAAATAAAAAATCTGGCCTGGGCAATTTAAAAATAATTATTTTATGGAGCATTTAAGATTTATTTACTGTTCATATTTTTAGTTCCCCTTGGAATAATGTTTAAAATATAGTTATAATTATTCAAAAACATAAAATATTAAGAATTCTCAGGAAGTTACTAAATTATTTTAAAAAATAGGCTAGGCCAAAAAAATTTATAAAGATCTCATTCAGGATCATAAGAATTCATTAAAGATAAAGATAAAATATTAATCTGGGATGAGCCTGAGATTTAATTGCAAATTAATTGCTTTTTAATAATAAAACAATTTTGCTATGCAAAAATTATTTTATCAGTATTTGATATAATAAATAACATAGAAATAGTTCCTTAAATATTTTAATTATTAAGTGCATTTAGCTTAAGTATTTATTTATTTATATTTAACTTACATTATTTATGATAAAATTTTGGAGGATGAAAATACTAACATAATATCTCAATATGGTTCTCAAAATAAAAAACCTTTTGACTGTTTTCATTTGCATCACTAACAAATTATGAGATGTGGAGAGGTTCAGGTTTTTAAAGATTTTTTTAAGCATAATATCTGGGCATGGATTTTAAAATAAATTTTTTTTGATTGCTATATTAATCATCGTTTTTAATCTCCAAATCTAGGTTATGCATGATAGGGGGTTTTTATAACTTTTTTATTTTTAATATGGGTATCAAATGAGATTTATTGAACTAATTTAAAAATCACTCTAGGCCTTTGAAACATTAATCTTGAGTGGTCAGAGTTTAAATCCCCTATGCTCCGTATTACCCTCTTGAATATTCTATCCCCACCCACTCAAAATTTTTCCCTATAAAATGTATCCCACCCTTTCAATAACGATAGCATCATAAATACCTACTCCTCTCCAAATTCAATGACTATTTTGCATCATAGCCCCTCTCCATAGTTAGTTAGGGATTAAAATATATTGACATGGGACTATAATTCAATGTAGTAATATAATAAAAAATAAAAAAAAATTATTGATTTAGAATTTATTTTATATTCTAATGGGACCTGGTATCTAGAAATTAAAAATAAAATTGGCGGAATAGGTAAATTTCCTATTATTTTTAAAAATTTAAATATGGCACATTTTTAGATTTTATATACAACATAATCGAATATTTTAATAAAAGATCCTATGTTTCAAAAATGTTCTAAGGAGTTATAGCATTTCGAATGATTAATTTTTTACCCAATTTCATCTAACCATTATAATATTTATAAAACAAATGATTCAGTTTTGAAAATAGGTCCCTCAGAAAAATATTATATATGCTTGAAGATTTTGATTATTAATAGCACAAAGGTCTGGACATCTATACGCAAGATCTCGAGGCGTAGGCAATATTTTTCTGGCTAAAATATTGAGTTAGTCATTTTTTGAAAATCGGCTAAAATGAAGCGCATCACTAGGTCTTTGTAAACAGTAATATTTGCTTAGGGGCTAACCGGAAGAAGCCAATATCTTCTTGAAAATTTTTAATCATAAAAATTCTTATAACCAATAGTACCAAGAAAAATTCTTAGCAATTATATGACTACTTCTAAGCCATTCGTTTTTTAATCTGAGCTTTAAGTATTTATTCTGAGTGAAGGATTTTTTTCTGAACATTTCATTTCCAAATCTGATCAATTAATTAGTAACCTATATTTTTAATAGGGCTGTGCCAATATTAAATATCGCATCGGTACCGTTATTTAACGTTTTCCAAAAATATCGGACCGATCCGATACCTGTAAAACCCGATCCTTTTACTTTTCTCTTTTTTGTTATTTTATGTGTATTTATTTTACATTAATATTTTCTAAATATATTTTTTAAACAATGAAAATGCACAACACCCCTTAAATTTTATTTATTTTTTAAAATATATTTATAGCATTTTAAAAGTTTTTTTATAAAAATAGAAAGGAACACCCAAAGTTTTATTTATTTTAAATCTTTGCCAATTTTATTATTTATACTTTAAATAAAAGAACTTTTTTAAATATGGTATCTGACTGAATTATGGAAATATTTTACAAAATGTGTTATATGCCAAATTCTAATTTCACGGGTGAATAATGAAAATTTCATTTAATATTACCAATATCCGTAAACTTTTTTTAATTATTGTAGAAATAAAAAAAAAATTAAATTAAATTAAATGCATAATTCTATTTTTTGCATAAAAGATATTGATTTCATAATTACATTTGGTTCAAAGGGGTGTGGTAAAAAATCAATATAAATATCAGATCGGTATTGGATCGGTAAAAAATATGTGGATCGGTACAGCCCTAATTTTTAAATATTACAAAAAATATAATATAGAGTCATTTTGTAAAATAACGTTTAAAATACCCTCTTTCACTGTAAAAATTAAAAACTCAAAAATTAAAACCTTACTGAAATAATACATATTTTAATTGCGAAAAGAATGATTGAATTAATAAAATAGTATTTCCATGAATTTTGAATTTTATATTAATTAAGATTAATGTATTTATAATTTTACGATATATTAATTTAGTTTGTATTAATAATAGCAAAAATAATTTTTTTTACGATTGCCAAATAAGTCCGGGGAGGATGGCGCGGTGGTGCATAGGTCTATCTATTACTAATAAATACTACAATTTCTTCTAAATATTTGAAAAATTTATTTATAATTTTATTTTTTTATATAAATAATTACAAATTGTTTGATATTTTTTTATAAAATGTTAGGAGTATGAGATGATAGAAATTTTTTTAAATTAATTTAAAATAAGTGAAAAAGGATTTGGGATGTAAGAAATCGAGAACGGCTAATATGATGCATACAATTATGAGAATCACGGTTAAATAGTAAAATCCATCTAATATCAAATTTCAAGCAGAAATTTACTTGACCTACCTTGTCCCACAAACAAATAAATTTAAATAATATATTACCATTATAAAAACATAGAAAATGGTATGGGACTCGGCAAAATTATTCAGAAATTTCCGCAAAAAGACTGGGAAGACACTCCTTTTAACGATGGAATTGAATTGGTATAATAACTTTTAAAATTTTAATGTTTACAAATTTTGAAATTACAAATTTCATATTTCCATCATAGGAAATAATATATTTATTTCATATAGAGATATAATAGCCAAATTTTGCTAACCTGATTGTTTATATATTTTTTTAAATTTTTTTCCCATCCCAAGCCACAGTGACTAAAATTTAGAACTAAAAGTTTAACGCTTATCTAAAAACAACCTAATCAAAACTTGTCAAAGATTGATCAGAAGATAATAAATAAATAGATGGAAAGAAAGAGAAAAAAAATATTGGATGACATCATTTATTATCGTCCAATTGGAAAGTATCGATTGCCTTGTTTTTGATGGGTGTTTATTAGTCGCTGCTGCTTGGGAGATAAAAATTTTTATTATAATAATTACCACATCATGATTGCTTAAAGACCGCAACTATGACTTTTGCCACAATTTTTTTTTGTAATTTAGTTATATTCTGTATATATTAGACTAAAATAATTTATTTAACTATTAATTTGTACTGGTTATTTTCACTAAGGCTGTGCCGATTCACAAATTTTTCACCGATCCGATATTTTTCGATATTACCAAAAACCGATCCCATTCGATACCTATCCGATATTTATATTGATTTTTATTTACCATTATACCTACAAAAATACGAATCGAATAATTCATTATTCTTATTCATACGAATAATAAAATGATTTTTGATTCGTCGAATATTCGATTCAATTCGAAAATTTTATTTAACCATAAATTAAAAAAGATAGAATATTAAATTTATTTTGTAAAATGTAACTATGGATAAAAGACAAACAAATTTTATTAGTAAGATATTATAGAAGCATTATATAGTATTTTTATATATAATGTAGTAAAATCAATATAATATTCATATCATGTAGAAGACAAATATACCAACAACAAATTTTTTAAACAAAAGTTTTTGCAAAAAGTAAAATTTATGATTTCTCCATCATCAAACGACGGAGAAATATCTGGTTCGCCCGTCATCCTTGACGGGATGGCTACTAGTTTATTATAATTGTATATGTGTTATAAATTGCATATAAAAATAAATACTTTCTTCGTCCATCATAAAACAATTTTCGGAAGTTAATTTTGTATTATGAAGTTATTCGAATAAAAACAGCCATTAACAACAATTTTAGAAATATAAAATATTTCTTCATTATTCCACTAGGAAATTTTATTAAATAGGAATAATTGCAAATAATTCCTACTAATAATATATGATTATTTTTCAATATTGTTATTTTAATCGAATAATAGATAAAAAATTATTCGACGAATAATATATTTTCCTTATTTCTAATCGAATAATTGTGATATTAGTATTCGTAAAATACGAATCGAATAACAAATAATTCGTGGGTATATTTACCATCAAATTTTTATATCAATCTCATAAAAATATACGTATTTTCTATTTTTTAAAAAAAACCAACTTTCACGAAAGTGTACTTTATTCTCCATTTAAAATATTTGCAATGTATGTGATGTTGTTAAACAGCTCCATTTACCCGATTTTTATAAATGGCTAAATCAAGATTTTTGCTAAAATATTATTATCTAAGCCTCGAAATTTCGCCGATAGAAGCCCAAACCTTTCTACTAGCTGTGCGCAAAATAAATAAGGTTGAGTAATTTACTTTTGGCCAAAATCTTGAATTACTTCCATTTTAAAATTAACTAAATCGAGCCGTTTAACAACACTAACTGAATGTGACTCGTTAGATATTTTAAAATTCTTTTCTTGTTGCTAATAATATAACAAAAAATAGTGTAAAATTTTTAAATAAAAAAATGATATGATTATATATACAATCATAAAATAACAAAAAACAATAAAAAAATATCAGATCGGTTTTTTAAAAATATACCTGATCCGATATTTTTTGAAAACGCAAAATATCGGGGCCCATCCGATATTTAATATCGGCACAGGGGTAATTCCATACCAAATCGATAGCTTTCAAATTATTAATAACTAACCTTTTTTGAGTGTTCACTCGTTCCCCCTTTTCATTGCTAGATTATGCAATCTTTTTTCCTGGTAATACCCTACTAGCTTCATCACTGCAAAATTTTTTTAAACAATATCAACTGTTTTTTGATTGAGATATTTTTGCAGGCTTTCGATTTGGCTTTGAAAGAATCCCCTTTTCTTCTAAAACGATTTTGGAATTATATGCCATATGATTATGTAGCGTTGAATGTCGTTTTTATATTATTTGCGCTCCAATTAGGAGCAGAATTGCCAGATGTCACGATTTAGCCGTGATTCTCACGATTTCATTCCTAATTTTTTACTTACCCACGTTTTCTCACACTTCACGCTTTTCTCACGTTTTTGAGTAAATTAAAATAATCACACTTAGTCTCACACTTTTTCTCACGTTTTTAAATTTCTTTAAAATATTTTTAAATTTTTTTAAATATTTTTAAAAACAAATATAAAATTTTAAATTAATTTTATTTTAACATATTTAAAAAAATTGTAGTATTTGTTAATAGTCCAACTAACCAATCATATTCATTGATCAATTACCCACAACAGAAATTCAATTTTTAAAAAGTTTATCAAGTATAATTATAATATGTAAATAACTATACATTTCTTTTATGGATTTTATAAATCTTATATTAAAACTCGTAAAATTTTAAATGAAATAAATTAAGGGCAAATATTATAAAAGATCTAAAAAACATCATCCGTTTTCAATCAATACTAATGGATGCATAGAATAAAGGTAATACCTTAGATACTTCAACAAAAAAAATGGAATAAATGTTTAATTACTTAAAAATTTTTCGTCTGACAGTGAAACCCCTAAAGACATATCTAGATGCTTGCTAGAAAATTTAAAATTTGCTGAACTTGAAATCGGCCTATTGTGCAGATAACGCATCTGTAAAATTTGGGAAAAATTAAAGTATTTGGACAGAATTGAAAAGCCATAGTAATAATATTATACCAATGGATTGTATATGCCACATTCTTCACAATTCGTTTAAAAAAGGCCATAATTTTTCGTAAATATGATATTGAGAATATAGTAATTAAATGCTATAATGAATTTAGCAACTCGACAAAAAGAGTTACAATTTTAAAAGAATTGGTAGAATGGTGCAACTTAAAATGGTCAGATTTATTTCGCCATGTTCCAACACGTTGGCTTACACTAATCCCAGCGATTAAGCGGATACTTAAGTATTTTCAACTCCTTAAAGAATAAATATTTTTTATCATTATCAGCAACCCCACCAATTTTGAAAATAATTTTTGGAGATGATTTTGCAGAGGCATATTTAGGTGTTGTCCTTAACGTTGGCACTTTAGTCAATAACGTAAATTTACAATTGCAAACTGAAGATGTATTAGCAATATATATACATGATCTTATCCTAAAACTAAAGAATTCATTAAATTTAAAAATTCAACAAAATTTTTATAGGAGCATTTCTAAAAATATTTTACAACATAATAATGATGTAGAAAAGGCAATAAATTTCAAAAATGAATCAAAGATATTTATAAAAAATATTATAGTATGTAGAAAAACGTTATGATATTATAGATAATATATGGAAATATCTTATCCCTATGACATTAAAATAATGTCCAGAATTAGAACAATTACAAAAAAATTATTAGTAATTATAAAATACCAAACATAGATACAGAAATTATCTTTGAGGAATATTCACAATTTTATTCTTATTATGAAGAAAAATTATCAAAACACAATCAATCACATGAATACCCAAGAAAAATGGATGGATTTTCTTTAATAAAAACTCACCATTGATAGAGAAAATATGCAATTTTATATTTTCTATTCCACATCCAAATGCTTCATCAGAGAGAATATTCAGTCTAATGATTACTGCTTGGCGAAAAGAACGTCATCATTGGAAGCTGAATTTATAGTTAAACAAAATATAACTAATTATGCAAAGAGTTTTCAGCCTATCTCTACAGTGCCGATGGGAAATCTTTATTGCCTCTTTTAAAATCATCCATAAAATATAATAATTAATATTATGCTATATTTAATGAGAAAATTATATATCATAATTGTTATTAGTAAATCAATAAAAAATTTTCATTGTTTTTAAAATCTTGTTACATTAAATATAACATAATAACTTAGATGAGTATGCTACATCAATTACCCCGGCCGAAGGCCGGTTAAAAACGGGCCAGACCCGCAAATTGGTGGAGATGGGGGGCGAAGTTCTTCATTAATTATTCTAAAATAATAAAAACTCACGTTTTCAAGTGAAGAATATCTGGCAACCCTGATTAAGAGGCAGAATGGTCAGCAATTGATATTTTTTTATTTTTAGATAAATTAGGATATTGTAATTTCATATTATTGTAATATCATTATTATCTTTTGTACCCGATTCTGGATTGTTAATTATTATATCTGAAATAAGCTTTTTATATTTTCGCTATCCTTTTTTTGGATAATTTTTTTCGGTTAGATTTTTTTTCTTATAGGAGATATTCCAATTTCGTTTAAAGTTATATTGATTGTATCTATTGATATTGATGCTGTGTTGATATTATTTACATATTAGCTATCAGAATAGTTATATTTTCAATATTTTTTTGTGATAACCGTTTACGACATTTATCACAAATATAGTGTTCCGCGTCAATGTTTGGAAATTGTGTGATCCACGTCATGACTTTACGCGGGTTTTTTTTATAATTAAAGTGTTTAGATTCTTTAAAAGGATTTAACGCATTTATATTTATACATTATAAATAATTTTAAAAATAAAAATAATTAATATCAAAATATTTGTAAAATAAAAATTAATTAATATTAGGGCAGGTGCATGAAAACTTGCTTTTATCTTTCAACAATTAATTAATATATTTTCTTGTAGGAGATATCGGAATCTTAACTTATTTTTAGGAAATTTAATCATTTATTATAAAAACAACTATTTTTTACAAGTTATCA